ACTCACCTCTGCCTGCCCCAGGGTAGGAGGGCATGCACAGGAGGTTAGTGCACGGTGTGTTTCACTGGCTGCCTTCAGATGTCTGCAGACCACTGGGCTGAGAAATGCTTTGGTGGGTGTGAAGAGGTGGTAGTATCCTGAGATTCACGCAGCTCTCCAGAAAGCCGACCCCTCTTCCCTGCTGCACCCTCCATCATGAAAACATGAAAATGAGGCGTCCTGTCCTTAAGCAATATGGAGGTGCTAGCCCCACCAGACTTTTCTGTTCCTTTTCCTCCATCTTTTTGTTAGGTGAGCTGGCTTGGAAATGCCAAACCATGCAAGTCTCACCCGCAGTCAGCTGAATCATAATTGAACCAAACATACAGAGGTCCTGTTCATGAAATGCATGATTCAAGAGACACATGTGCCTCTAGGTCCTGGTAACCTCCAAAACTACATGAGCGCTACTTTTGTGACTGCCTTGTTACTCTTCAGAACTCCTGCGGCACTACAGCCTCCTCTCCTGCACTGCCTCCTGGCCACAACCAGCCACACCAGTGCCACCACGTGAAAGTGCAGCCAGTGCCTGTGCTCCTGCCACGTTCCCAAATTCAGACTGTTCTGCTGCTACAATGGCCTCACTATCTAAACTAAAGGCGAATTTAAAAGTAAAAGCTTTATTAGGGATATAGAAGTCCATATCTGGAAGTTGCATGAGCCTAGGGCAAATTACATATCTATCACATAGTTCATGTTGTCTCGCTTTACACGTCTAAAGTCTCCAGTCTAAGGCAGACGCCTAACCTCTTGCCACTGTTAGCACAGTAAGAGCCTACAATGTATTTCTTCCTTATCAGGCATCAAAACCAAGCAGAGTGCATTACTTTCTGTAATGTTATCACTGTCCAAGGAGTGGAATAGGAACCTAGACATCCAGCTTCTGCATGGCAACAGCTATGGCAGCTAAATCCTACTGTAACAGATGAACTAAAGAAAAATTTTTGAAAATTTACACTTCCTTCAAGGCCTTCTGTTCACAGAAGGAGAAACACTCAGACTTTCCTGTGGAGTTCTTAGCTGCCATTACCAGTGAGTCTGATGACCCATAATTTTAGGAACAGCAACATGGATTTTTGGAGGAAGAAAATATCTTTTGTTTCATGACATGAGAAGGGATGCGCCTTCCTTCTTGTCAATTGCTGCTTTTCACCCCACAACGTTCTACATTTTGTGGTGGCCATTCATCTCATCCTCTTTGACCTACTACATTTTCAGGAGAATGGAGAGAAAGCAAAATCATGTAGGATGACACCTCAGAAATACAACCCTTGCAATAGGGCTAGTCTTGAGGAGTTTCAATGACTCCTACAAAGTTTCCCAATGGTGACAAATTTGCCAGCTCCACCAGATATCAACTGACTCAGGCCAACACACATCAACGGGAAGTTTTACCTTTTGTAGGCTTAGGAACCTCTACATAGTTGGAAGATCAGTTTTTCTCAAAGTAACTGTAACTTCACATTCAAAAATTAAAGAAATCAAATTCAAAATCAAGCAGAAATACATAAGAGGTCCTGACTTCCATTAGCAAAAAAGCACCTTCAGCTCCAAGAACATTTTGGAGAGCTGCAAAGTCGTGGCCTGTGCTTGTATAATCAGGCAGACCTCATAGTCTTCAACAACAAATGGAAAAACACATTTTAAAGCTGTTTATTTAAATTGAAATATTAGCTTGTCTGCCACTTAAAAAAAACAAGTATATGTTGGAGTTTTTTTACACTGTAATGGAGAGTGCTTGTAACCAGGAGGGAATGAGCCTTTCTACCTATCACTGCAACGCGGCTGCTTCTGGGATGAAACTTGGTAACTGATTAATAACACACAATGGTATTACATCACAGTTTAGGCAGCAAGAGAAGTAATATATCCAATTAAAACGGCAGGGGTAATTTAAACAGGCAGATTACAGTAATTACCCAGGTTGGAATTTGGCCAGGACAAATGGGTTAACACCCCTACTCTGAACAGGAACATTGTGGGATTTTTAATGACCGCAAATAGTTAAGACTTTGATTTCCTATCTTGTCCAAGACAGCAAGGGTTTGGTTTTGCTCTTATTTGTGCTGCTGGGTAAAGCCGGAATAAATCCTTTTGGGTCAATGAGGTTTACACTGATGTACATAAAACAAAAGTTTGGCCCAGTGTGCTGCAGAGTCCTGTGCTAAGGTAGCAGAGGCTTGAGGGGGACAGCATCTCCCACTGAATCATTAAATCCTGATGGAGCTTAAGGTATTCCTTGGATAGGTCCCATCTGGCCCTGACCTGGCTTGACCCTACTTAATTTATGAGCTCTGATGGGATTGCTGCTGCCCAGGAATGACACTGTAGTAAGTAACAGACTGCCCTCTTAGACTGCTGCCTTCCTGTCCCCTTATAAAAGTCTTCTGTGCAGCGGTATGTAATTAGTAATGAATGTTACTGAGGAGGATTTAGAGTACAGTCAGTGGAAATCTGATCTAGTTCCACTAAACCCCTAAAATGTCACTACTGTAATGGAGACCAGAATCTGCCCCATGTTTTAGCTGACTGCATCTGGCTACAGTTGCGAACACTTTGGTTTTGGAAGATGTAAGCACTGAGAATCTAATGCAAGAAGACTATATAACTTTTAATGAATCAGGCCCTTGAGGTTTACTTTTCACCCATTAGTTTTGGAATGCAAAATACATAGTTGAATTAGATAATAATAATTCCCCGGTATCATCCAATTGTAAATCTTAATATCTATAAAAGCCCCACATGAAACAAGAGTTCTACATGACAACTACAAAAGGATTTGTGCTTGACTTTCTATATTAATCCAACATAAACAGAAGAATAATTCAATCAATCAGTTCAAATGAGTTCTAAAGCAAAAAAAACCCCAAAAACCTCTTATCCTAGAATCATAAATGGGGCTTTGAAAACCATGTTATCTATGACTTTGGGAAAAAAAAAATCTAAGACAGTATGAAGAAAGTAAGCACAACAGAACACAGTATTAATTCAAGAAGCCCTAAAACCTATACCAAAATTTAAAATACAAGACTTTTCTTGTAAGGAGAAAAAAGACATAAGAGAAGAAGTAACAATTTGCTCACAAAATGGATATTACAGTAACACTAACGTAAAATAGATTCCTAACAAGCAATTTTGCAGATGTTATTTCTGCTCAGATCTCGTATTGATTCAAATAACCTTTGCAATAATTAGCTGTAGCTCAAAAAAGATAAACAAATCATGAAAATATACAATTGTTCTGGACAAAAGATAGAGAGCACTTCAGTGTTTCTAGCCCTGATCTCCAATTTGCTTATTATTAGAGAAGACAGGAGTAAATACAAAAGCTGGCTATTTCAGCCAGGCAATAGCTAATGCCAAGAAGAGAATGCGCATTCAAAGCTGTCCCAACTTGCTGCCTAATGAGTAGCAATTAATCCATCTTATTGTATTTCAAAATGCTGAAGACTCCATTCACATCAAAGGGAATTTTTCAAGGCTTTTATCATTGTTCATTTAAAAAGTATAGAGCTATCTTTAGCATTTTATAATTGACAACAATATTTTCTTTTTATCCCTCAATGTAGAATGTAGAATAATGGATTTTAAAATACGTAACACGTGTGAACTGTAGGCATTTTAATGTTTCTTTTTGTCTCTGTCTAATTAATCTTGCTCTATGAAAAAATGTCTGAAATGAAAGTCTAAGACAGATGTATATCCTGCTGTGAAGACCTTTACTCTCTATTCATGCACAGCTTCCAATCCATCTTTCCTCCTGAATGGACAGAGGTGACTTTGGCTCCCTCACAGTGCAAAGGTGGGAAATGCTGCAACCTAACACTATGGACTGGTGTATTTGACATGGAAATACATTAGAGCATGAAAATTCTGCTTTGCCTCCTCCACTCTCTGTATGAGAAGAGATGTCATGAAGAGGAGCCGCCTTTCAGATTTGTCTCCAAGGACAGCTTTATCTCAGCCTCTCTTTCCATTTTCATGAGGTGAAATTTCTCTAACTTCAGGAAGATTTTAATAGCCTCAGAAAATTAAGATTAAAATATCCAAAACAGCAATATTTTCCTGCTGTAAAAAGCATGAAAATGCACAACATCATTTTGAAATGCAGCAATAGCATTTACGCGTGAAACTTCTCTTTCTTGCAGGCTAAGGATCCATCCATCCAGAGTGACTGTAGGCACTCATCATCAAAGAAAAGGGACTTCGCTGGACCAAGCAGACTTTATGGCATGCAGCTGACATTTCAATCTATTAGATAAGCTTCAGTAATACTCTATCCAATGCCATGGGTTCACATAGCTCTGAAATCCTTCCATCCACTTGGATTTTTGCAGAAGATAAACACAGGAAGATTCATCCAACTCCTCTCCTCGCCATGAGCAGGATTCAGACCAAGGTCAGACAGAAAGATCTCTTGGTATAAAATAAACTCAGCAGGTACTCAGGGAACAAGAGTTATTTGTTATACCCTGTCAAAGTAAGAGACTGGGAACTGAGGTCAACAGGACAGATCAGCCACATCCCGAAAGATCGACAAGAAATGGCTTTATTAAGAAAGCCGCTAGCAATGCATGTCAGCTGGGGGACAAGGGCCTCTGTGCTGTGCCCCTGCAATCCTCAAGTGCCTGCCTGTGCTTTTTTCAGATAAAGCAGCGCTGGCACACAGGGAATGACCAGCTTCTCTGCAATACCCTGCCCCGTGTACGTGTGGGAGGTGCACGGAGGGGACGTCTGGTGGCAGGAGGAACAAACATGGCAGATGGAGATAACGTCGGGTCAGAGCTGAGGGAACTCGGAGCTATAGCATGAAGGGTCTCTGCATTAATCCATAGAGCGCTTGCCTCTCATGCTGTAGGTAGGAAACTTGACATCAGATGCATGTGGGTTTTTTAAGTAGTAACTGCTCCCCTGGCTGCCACCAATCACACGCTTTACAGAGTAATTGCAAACTCCAGCTCACTGTTAAAAGGGCAAGACTGGCCTGGGTTAGAAGCTGTGGTTCCTCTGGCTATCTTCTTCTCGATCACTCCTTCACCAGTAAATGTGGGCAGCACCCACTCCAGGAGAACGAGAGCCCATCGTCTTCCCAAGGAGGTTGACGGGGAAGTCCAGGCTGCGGCCAAAATGACCCTTCTTGAAACAATGGGCACTTGTAGATGCCAAAATGTATTCACGGTCTTACTTTCACATCAGTGACATCCTTCTCAGGCAGTTTTCAAAGGACACTGGACCATATAGATGGTTCAATACAGGAATAATAAGAAAAATGGGCAGTAGTGCTAACAAAATGTCTGGAGCAGCAAGGTTCTTTCTCCAGTCCAAAACCAGCAGCTTCTCCCACTTCCAGGGAGTAATTGCAGCTCCCCCAGCAGAAAAAGCGAGGGCTCTTTCTTTCATAAAGGCAGCTCTCTTACAGCACCGGCTTGCATCAAAGTTTCACCTCTTCCATGTGGGGAGAAAAAAGTCTGTAGGACGCTGCAACTTCTCTGGAAGAACCCCTGCAAAAGGGTTGATGTGCCACGGCACCTCATTTGCTGAGACAAAAAACAGCAAGAAAAAGAGGAGGGAGATGGGGGGAGCCTGGCTCCTCTGCCCATTCTGGGCACCTCTCCAGCTGGGAGCCATGGAGGAGTCACCAGTGCTGTGCTGGGGCTTCCCGGGGAGCTAAATCCTGGGGCAGCATGAGTACCCGGGAGCAGGGGCAGGAGGAGCAGCCCGGGACCCACTGGCCAGCAAGACCTGCTGGGAAAGGGCTGGGGCAGCTTTTGCAGCCAGTGATGCCGGGAGGGGCCAGCAAACCTCTGTCACCAGTGTGCACTCTGTCCTCACCGTGCAGTTGTAGAGAGTTGAAGTAAATGGCCCTGCAGTGCGTCGGGGCGTGGATGTGGGAGGCTCTTCCTGAAGCAAGCAATTCCTTGCACCAAAACAGCAGTTCCCCCACTTTCTGATCAGCTCTGAGGGAGCCTGCAGACCACCAACGGGTGGGAAGGGGCAGTGAGGTCTGAAGCCCTTACAAAATATTTTGTTGCCCTAACAATTCTTTCCTTCTTCAGGTGACTCCTTCAAATGAAAAATCCCTCTGGATCTCTATTTATTGCAAATGGCACCTAGGCTAGAGGTCTCAAATGTTACTAGGGTGTAGCTAGTTTCTGTCTTCTTTGGAAAGCTTCAATAAAAATCAGACAGCAGTTGCAGTACTTAAAAATATATTTTGCTTTATAAGTGTCTTCATATTTTAAGCTATTTTGGGCATTCAGAAAGGGAAGTACTTTAGAACAGTAAAACCAATATTTTTGTTAGGCTTCTAGGCCTGTATTTTGGTATCTAAGTGGGCTTCCTGATTTTCATAGCCCTGAGTGCTCACCAGTCCTATAAGACTCTCTGAGAGCTGCTGGTGCTGAGCACCTCTGAAAGTAAGGCTACCGATTTACATACTTAATTTTAGGCATCAAGGATTGACAATGTAAGCTTAAAATGCTACATATCTCTGTATTATTGCACCTTCGGTTAAAAAGCAATATGTTTAAGTTGTCTTAGTTGTTCTTTATGAACCCCAACTGCTCAGCCAGTGCAGCTAAAAAGCCAGCCACCAACAGCCATACAAGCTTGCCAGCATGCTGCCCACTGCGGACGAAAAACCCAGTGCTTCTGTCAAGGAGGCCTGTAACAAAGCCAGGCTGTTATTTATACGCTGCAGTTCCAGGATCAGGGTAAGCATCCGCAGTGCTCACCGCTTAGCATTGTGAAATTATTTTCTGAAACATTTTGCTTTTCAGCTAGAATAAAAAAGTGATTTGTTCTCATCTGGAAAAAAAATCAGCAAAAAGAAAAATGGAGGGAAGTTAAAGATTTACAAGTTCCTTCGCTTTTTATTAAAAAAGAAAAAAATCAACAGAAAAACCCTCTCTTCCACTCTTAAGTAATGTGAAAACAAAATGAGTCCCAAGATCTCCGCTGGAAAATTTGAAAAAAAAACAAGCAATCCAAGAAACCCCTATTAAGCATTTCCAAGAGTTTCTTTTTAGCCTTAGAATATATTTTACGGAAACCAGGGAAAACGGGGACATGTACAATTCATCACATCAGATTAAGCAAACAAACTTAATATTCCCTGAACGGGACTCTGACTGAGGCTCTCCAAAGATTAAATGTCAGTATTTTACTTAAAAAAAAAGAATTTCAGGGAATCTTGCAAATAGTACGTAACTTGAGGTGATACTAGATTTTAGTCTAGAAACACCTTATAGTTAGAGCAATCTTGATAAGCTGTGCTTTCTGACACTTGGAGTAAACGATCTATTTTAAGTATTTTTGATAGCATTTCAAAAGCACAGACAAAAAACATTTGGGAATGGAAAACGATTACCCCAATTACCACTCCGGAAAAAGCAAAAAAGAAAAAGCATCTACACAACTGCATAAAAACCCCACGTACTTAAATATACTCCTAGCACTCAACTGTTAAAAAAAAAATAGACGAATGGGTTAAAAATCAGGTTTAGGTGTTGAGCTGTTACAAAGAGTAGTTTACTTTGCATTTGAACAGTGTTAAAACAACGTTTTTAATGTGGATGCTAGTGCAGAAACCAGAGGTTAAACACAAAGAGACGCAGACAGCTACCACATGCAGGAAAAGGAGGTTACAGGCACGACAGCACCAGGCACTCGCCCATCACCGCGGGGAGGAGGAAGGGACAGGCATAGCAACCACAAGCCCAAAAGCAGAAAAGCGCATACCTTCAGCTTGGAATGAAAATCACGAGATTTCCTTCTGGCAAGAACCTGAATGTGACTAGACACCTGCAGGGTAGGGGAAGGGAGGAAACAAAGGAAAAGCCTGTAACCATGGAGATGAAAAGCCCCCTACAACTGGGCAAGCCAAACGTACCTTAATGGCGGCTTGAATTTCTCGAACTTTCTTTCTTGCTAAGACCTGTATGTGACTAGACACCTACATTGTTCAGGTTTATAGGAAAAAAAAAAAACAAACAAAAGAAAAACAAAAAGCAAATCAAATTTTAAATGTCTATTTTTTTCTTTTTTAAAAAAAAACTTTTCTGAGGGGAGGAAGTTATTTGCATCTTCAGTAAGCTCTGCTGTTAAAGATACCGCATTCCCAGCCAGATACCAAGCTCTTAGCACCAAGGTTTAACAATTCAGGTCATCACTGCAGTGACTTGATTAAGGAAAAAAAAAGAGAAAAGAGAAAAAAAAAATGTAACCCACCAGGTTGTGCATTCAGCTACAAGATAGAAGAGACAGTTCGCAGCTGGACGCAGCCCACATGCTTTGGTACCAGTCCCACTCGTGACCAGGCCCTGCGCTCTCGCACGGGGAGCCATCAGGATTCCTACCCGATCTGCAGATGCCCATTCTGACCATTTGCCACTAGGCTTGAGATGTAACTTGGCACAGAGAAGTTTTATCCATTATTTATCGTGTTCTGCAGCTCCAGTGAGGAGCCTCAGGCTGCGCTTTCACCCCCCTGAAATGCTTTAAAATTCTGGCACAAACGATAAAATACTGGCACAACATAGGTCCCTGAACCTGTGCTGGCTTCCTTGGTCATCTCAGCATCAAGTCTGCCCATAAAACACTCATGTAAGTGGAGACCAGTAACTTGACATCAGCCTGGGTGATGTCCATTTTTGGCCCATCATCATCACATTTTGGTAAGAAATTTGTGTAAACCAAGTCCTGCACTGGACCAGTTATTGGTCAGAAGTTGTTGCCTGTGCAGTGAAGTGTCTAGGCTCAGATTCACACTCCTGTTTACTCGGGCACGTACTGAAATCCATGCTATCGATGGTGAGGGTTTAATGATGCTGCCCAGCATCGCTCAGTAGTGCTCAGCATCCCACAGCCCTCTGTGAGAAGGTTTAACACCCTAAGCAATGGTAAAAACCTCCAAAGAGAAATCTCTTCTCCTTGTTTGACCCAGGGCATACCACATCAGGTGTTGTACATTTTTCCTAATTTAGTTACAATTCCTGTCTGGGAAAGAACAAAGCAAAAGAAAAGGATAAATAAAGCTTGATTTCCTCCCTCTGTAAGACTATCCCACGACAACAGTACCAAAAAGCCTGCATTTTTAGTAGGGAAGCAAACAGAAATGCATAAATGAGCACAGCCCCTGAAGGCCACCTTCAGAGACTTCTTCGTGAAGCAGCTCAGGAACCAGTTCACAGTAATTCAGAGTTATATTGTTGCTTATTGAGCAATTTTGTCGTCAAACACGTAGGCCAAGTTTTCACACGTGTTCATTTGTTTTGCTTTCAGTGGGGTATTAGTGGTGTTAAAGGTTATACAAGAAGCACAACTGCAATGTTTAATTGCTCAGTTGAAACTCAGAAGTAACGACAATCAAACTTTTCTAAACACTTGGTCTAAAGTGATTTATGAATCACTATAGAGGGATGTACAAGTCTGGAGGCAGAACATCGCCATATGTAAGCCATCACAGCCCACTCGGTTTCACCACAGCTCTACCAGCACATACTGGCCAAGGATCTAGCCCCAAGGTCTGCATTTTGACTCCTGATGCAATTTAAGATCCCAGCATAACCCCCGACTCTTGGAGCTCACAAGAACATAGCAGGGCAGAACTTGGGACTTTGCCTTTTGTTTCAGATCTCTTTGACAATCTTTTCTTTGCTCCTTCTCCACATGCTGCAGTTTCTCTCCTTTCCCATGTCTTTTTTCATCCGTTGTACACATGTTTTCTTCCTAACTGACAAAGGACACCACCCAGGGCAAGATATCACCCAGTTCAAAGTGCTTTAAATCTGAGCGCTGGCAGCAGGCCATTTTTGTGTGTGCTGACTCAGCGTCACCTTTCCCTGCACTACAAAACACACGTAGCATGCACGTGTATGAGCCTCTGCCTTCCCCTTTGTCATGCACGTGGATGGGGAGATGGGGAATCTTTCACTTGAAATTAGAGAAAGCAAGGGGAATCTGCGACTTGCAAAGCATTTTGAAACAGTGCAAGGGTTTAGTAACCACCGCATAAACTATACAGAGCATGTGCCTTCTGTGAGGCTGCTGATCACAGTGGATATTATAAATTAAAGGATTTAGTCCTATAAGACAAGTTAATGGTTATGTGATAATCATCTGAAAAAGACTTCAGACTGGTTAGAGGTTTATTCCGACTCTTTGATGAACGAAATCCTCCCGTGGTCACAGACCAGGAGCCTGAAGGCTCTTAGGGGAATTTTTTTATTATTTTTTCATCCTGTAGCAAGTACTGCCCATGAGCTGAAAGCATGATTACGATCAGTCCTGCTAGATACATTTTATTTATTTACCTCTCATATCCAAGGATCATAACCTCTATTATATAGGCAAATTGGCTGGACTTATAAAAGTTCCATTATTCACCATCTCAAAATAATCATTATATTCTGTAATTGTCCTTACAGGAAATAAGGCACAATGTTTTATGATCCTGCTTCAACTTTTGAATTTTCTTTTTCCCAAATACAGGGATAATAGCTTCATGTACACATAGGTTAACAAAAAATGCATCCTCAAACCGCCACTGAAATAATGCACAATAAACCCGAGTTTTAAATATTTTCTAAACAGCATGTATTTAATCTGAACAGTGAAGTCAATACATCATCTCATCAGAGCTGAAGCACAGACAGCCACTGCTGCCAAAAATGCCATGTTTTGTCATTCACTGACATGCATACTTCCCCACTGGGTTATTTTACCTGCTTCCTGGTCCGTGTCTTCCCTGTTCTAAGTTTGATGTATCTGGCTATCAATTCATTCCTACCTGAAAAAAAGAAAAATTCACAATAAGGGACAGGCAGCATCATGTCCATGATCACCACCAAAATATCACATTTAAACATATAAGCTCCATGCACGAGGCTTACATTTTCTTAAACCTAAGCCACTTTTCCTTTGCAGACTACTGATCAGTATTTCTCATCGTTCATCAGTATTTTTCTTTCCTCTCCTTAACAGACATTGTATGTACCACATGAACTACACAGAGGCCTACGGGTTCAGTGCTTTCCCACTCAAGTCCTGCAGCTGTCTGCAGGCAGAGAGGCACCTCCTTGGCCAGCCATGGTGCCCAGGATGATCTCTCGCTGGAGAAACCCCCATGCTGGGGGCTGACACAAGGTCTGGGCTCCTCTGGTTTTGCTTCCGACTGCGCTGGGTGATGTTGGCCTCTCTGGCCCACCTGGACCCCTGCTGGGAGGAGCAGCTGCTCCAGAGAAGGTCGTGTGGCAACCGAGCCCAAGTGCCTATCACCCACACGTTACGGTTTCACATCAGCTTTTCTCCAAGTTTTAATTCTATGAGGAAGACAGCAAAATCTGTCCTTCCTGCCAGGAAGCACTCTGCGTCCTCCACTGATGGAAACCACTATCAATCACACCCTTAGCTCTAGGCACAAGAGCGGTCACCCTGCGGTGACTAAGTTCCTGCTGCAGTGGGGCCGATCAACACAGTGATTTGTTATTCAGAGCTCTATTTCTCTTGGAAATGTATAGTACTTCCAAGTGTCTAAAATGACTCTTCTTCAGTCATACATTATGCTACCTAACACAAACTAACATTTTCTTTCCAAATAATTTCCTTCCTAAATATTGCTGACATGGAAGATAACACAGTTTTATGTGGTGCCCTGTTTATTTTCACTGCATATTATGTTACTCCTCCATGAGTTGTAATAACTTAAACATAGTTGTTCAACAAGTCTTAAGTTATGGAGTTATTTAATTCAGCACAGGGGATATGCAGCCCATGTGTAGAAAATGAGAAAACTGATTTAGCAGCAAGCTGAAAATGGGAGGTTAAGAAAATAACTTGTCACCCACCAAGCTGGGGAGTGCAGAAAGTTATATCAACCAGGGACTCAACCTCTTTGAGGTTGTGAGGGAGAGATGGGAAGTTTTGAAGTAGCCTGCCTATGTCTGAAGGGTGTTTTGTTGACTGTAATATTGAACAGAATTAGTCAAACTAGACCTTCTTTTTCCTTTTTTCTTCTGTCTCCCCCACTGACCCTTATTTTACACCCTTTGTATCAAATGTCTCATGGTTCCTGTCTCTTCCATGGTTTGTTTGCTAAATGGGTACTAGAATATGACATATCAACGTGCTCCAGAGTAGAGCTGTGTTTTCTCTGATTCCATTTTTGTTTTGCTCTGGACTGTGTGCCAGGTTTCCCACAACGTGTCACTGTAACAGCAACGTGAGGTTTGTAACTCTTCAGCAGGTCTCTTCAGTACAAACTTTAAGAGGTAAATTGTGCGTGAGCAAACAGTTACACAAACAAGCAGCATTTCTGCAGACAAATGAGGGATTTCCATACACAAACAGAGGAGCAGCTAGTTACCCAAATTCATGCGAAGACCTTGTCTTTTGGCTGGACAGAAGTTCTGCAGCCTGTCCTGCCCACAAGGTACTTGCCATTTGCAGTGAACAAGAGCCTTTGTGTTCATGGTGTGAAACTAGGGAATGCTGAGTCTCTGCATCTCTCTATTCTCATGCTCTTTCTCATAATCCAAACAGTTAATTTCAAATATGGAGAACTAGTTTTCACAGTGGTGGTTTTTTCCCTATGTCCTTATGCTGTATCAGCAGCTACCTCACAGCAAATTCACTTGCAGCTGTTGGGCATGGACAGAAATGGAGCTGCTCTACTCTTCATTAATATTAGGAAAAGTTCCACAGTGGAAAAATACTATACAGTTTGGGAAAATGAATCAACGGAGAGGGCAAGAGCCTGAGGCCACAGCAATGAGGAGGGAGAGGAAAAGGTATACAGTGATGGCATGGCATACTAAACGTGCTTTGGACAAGAGTTTTCCAAAACCTTCTTGCTTGGTAGTTTTTATGCCTCTGCAGTGTCCCTTTAATGAGCACTAGGCTAGCAGACAGTAAAGAGGTGAACAAAAATTAAAAGAAGGACAGGAAGATGCATTTCACCACCTGCCCGAAGCGGTGGTAACCTGCAAGATCAGCCCTCTGCGGTCTGGTGAGATTCGGAGATCACCATATTCCTGCAGTCACCAGTATGATAGATGGTATGAAAATTTTCTTATTTCTAAATGCACATTTTGATTTAATTGGGGAATGTCCCCCCTCAAGAAAGTACCTTCGTTGCATATCTTTAAGTATGTGCATACACTAAGCCCCCAGAACAGTTTTTTGGTGCAAAAAGTATTGTCACGTTGTCCTTATCAACAGCCGGTGACTCCGCAACATCAATGACTCTATAAGGTGATGTAAAGGATGCGTTGCCATCTCTTGTCCCTCCGTCTGTACTGAAGATGTTTCAGATACACGGTCACAGCATAGGTCACTCCAGCCATTCTTTGCCCATTAAGGCAATCCTACGCAGCCCTCAGTCATACCTGAGCAAGGAAGAGTTAAACCTTCTCATGGTTTCACAGTTTTCTTCCCAGTCAAGAGAGCTAAAAAACTGTTTTAAAAGGAAAGCTCAGATTCGCAGGCAGCCACTTGACAGGAAAAGCAGCTTTAAAAAAATACCAAGCACTGAAAGTCTAGACTGCATTATTCAAAATACCAGTCAAGTGCTGTCTCTGGTTGAGCCCCAGTCCATCCATGAAGTGCTTTGGCTTGAATCAAGGGGGGGCTTCTCTAGCTGCTATCTAGCCCAGCAGGGGTCTGACTAACAAGATTGTGGTTTTGCAAAGAAATCGCTTCCTCTTAAGGTGAAGTCTAGCTGGAGCCTAGCTCAGGAAGAGTCAACAGGTGGAGTAATTTGACTTATCTTACAGGGAGGAGGGACCCTACAAGGAACCATGCAAAGTGGCCAAGGCAACAGCCTTACATTTTCCTTACAGCCATGTTTTAACACAGCGAAGAAACATGCGTCAGATTCAGCCAGAGCAGGAGATACTGTAGCTTCATGAGGCTCACTAAATACCTCTGCCCAGCCACAATGTGGCTGACAAGACAGAAATTCTTATTTGGACTACCAAAAAGCCATAAACACAAACATAAGCACTGCCTAACACACACAAGACAGAGAGTCCGGATGGTAAGTTTACAGCCTTTACGTTATCTACCAAACACTGGTGCTCTTCTTTACCAGCTCTGACAGATACTAACAGAAAAGAGGATTTTAAAGAAAGGATGGCTTAATAATCCTAAAAACACCCTTTCCTGTTCTTGTGAATGAGGAGAGTCTGAAACAAAAGGAGGCTCTCAAGGAACTTCTTTAACCGGCCATTAGAAACCTTAGGGTGAAAAATACTCATTAATAAATAGATCTGGTTTCCTCTAAGAAGAGCTCAGCTGTGGAAATACTTTCCGTACACACCCTCCCTCTCTCTCCCTGTCATATATATCTGGGAAACTGCCTGGCAGAAGAGAAGAGGTCGGGTTTATGAACTGCAAATGTTTACCTCCTTCTTCTTGTCATTTGCTATGACAGTCTCCTACTTTGAATACTTTGGTTCAGATATCAAAGAGAGGTGTGGGGAGGTGCTTGGTCAGATAAAACATCTTCATAGCCCAGGAATCCTTTCCAAGGATCTTGAAAAGATCAGGAGAGGATCACAACAAATATTTTTATAGGCTTCTTCTCGTGGGATTATTTTCTCCATTTTAAATTCAGGCTTTATCTGCCATGCCCTTCTGTACTGTCAGTGCAATTGCAGACTACAGTTCTCCCTGGACTGATGCTGAGTAAGAGACATTTTACACAACAGAACATCTTTTTTAATCATGGCAGAAAGTAAAAAGGGGGTTCAGCTAGAAAACAGATGTTAGAAAATGTTAGATGTTCTGCGGGGGAACGGCCAGGTCCCTGGGGCAGCCCTGCTCCTGGCAGCCAGCGGGACCCAGGCCTCCTCTGCCTTCCCAGACTATGGCCACATCCCTGAGGAGCATCACCCTGAACCAGGGAGTGTGCGGTGATCCCGGACACCTCACAGGCAGCGTGGAGGACTGACATTTCTGCTCTTCGTGTTCAAATTAAGTAGAAGCAGCTGCACAGTGGGGAGGCTCCCACCAGCCCCTCCCCGGGGGAGGCGCCTCTCCCCGGGGGAGGCAGTTGTTGCTCGAACAGAGGGCCCTTGTGCTGGGAAGCCTCCCCCACCAACGTTATTTCCAAAAACAGCCTAAGGCAGTCAGGCATCAGCCCTCACAAAGGTCTTCATGCGGCTCCCGGCTGCCACCCTTGGTGCTGAGGGTGGGTTTGGCCCTGCTCGCCCAGCACGGGCAATGCCCTCAAAGGTGAAAATCAGGAGGCAGTTGTTGCTCGAACAGAGGGCCCTTGTGCTGGGAAGCCTCCCCCACCAACGTTATTTCCAAAAACAGCCTAAGGCAGTCAGGCATCAGCCCTCACAAAGGTCTTCATGCGGCTCCCGGCTGCCACCCTTGGTGCTGAGGGTGGGTTTGGCCCTGCTCGCCCAGCACGGGCAATGCCCTCAAAGGTGAAAATCACCCCCTGGGTGAGGTGGGCATAACTGGCAACCCCTCCACGGGCCCAAACCGGCATCACCACCTCTGCACAGGGGCCACCAGGTTGCCACAGGCAGCTCTACCAGGACCTACATGAGCTGTGGACATGCCCCCAGCTATGCCGCGTCCCTTTCCCTGGGTCCCAGCCACAGGGGTTGCTCCTCCAACCCGGTCCCTGCCGGCAGCAGGGCAGCGAGCTGGAGCATCACGTCCCTACAGAGCCGCCAGCTGCGTGGCAGGCGAGCTCCTTTATTTAGAACATTAATGACAGAAATTAAACCTCCGCCCTCCCAGCTCCCAGTAATAGGCACCATCCGAATGTGATAA